AGGCCGTTGGAGGCGGCAACGGCACTAATCTCTGGTTCTCGATGCTCACCTGCTACAACTACATCGATTAGACGCTGGTCATGGAGTGCAACAACCTGCAGGCCGCAGGCCTATGGGACGTCATGGAGGACGACATGGTCTCAAGGAAGGAGGACAGGCAAGCGGTTGCGGCACTGACCGTCTCCAAGATCATCATAATATTCGTTTGTGCTCTGGATGTCATCATCAAGATATGCTTGCAACGTATCAAAGTGGGGGATGTGTTCAAATTACATCTTGACCGGCACTTGTCTTGCATTAAGAGTCAATTGTCCAATCAAAGGCCCTATCCGTCACGCGGGGTTGCCTTGGTAATTAAGATAAATCAGACAAAAGCATTGGGTGTTTAATGACCACACCTTTTTTACCCCAGAGATGTGATTCACACTACAGTACTAAGCCTTTTTGTCAGAGGTCTTCAGAATAGTGTTTCACGGTCTCTCTGCCCTTAGCCTCTCCATGGCTCGATCTTTGTGATCCTGGGTACCTACAAGGACAAAGATCACGAACGAGACAAGAGACAACTACAAAGCAATTTTATTTCACACAAACAAGACATCATAGTACTTCCATCAATCCCTGCAACAAATGCATAGGGTTGTAGGGCTAGCCTCAACCCATTATCTTACCGAATTACTCACACATAGTGATCAGACCGCAAGAAGAAACGATTGAAGAACACATCATGAAGATTGGTTAATTGATTGATAATATGTCTTACAATAGTTGCCGGATGCGATAGACGATTACAAGGTGTGACTAACCAGGATAAATGTTGCGGTGATGGTGATCGAGATGGCTATGAAGATTGAGATGGAAAATGACGGCGTTTATGGTTGTTGTGGATGATGAAGATGGATGTCTCGGCGATGTTCTGTTGCCCTTCTGGTGCTGACCCACTTATAGAAGTTGTTGGATGGATCAGAGGGCGTCACTGGCATGCTATATGAGTACTCACACGAGCATGTGTGTTCATATGAGGCGTCGTCTTGCGCTCTGGTGGCTTCCTGTGCCTCCCACTTTGGCTCTCCTTATCTCCTCTTTAGTCATTTCCATACATGTGCTTGATTTTGTCGATATCCCCATTTCCTATGAAAACTAAATAATGATAGAATTTCATAAATGTTTGCATTCATTAGTCACTAGTAGCAATATCGAAGCGGATATCTTGGTTTTGATGAAAGCGGTCTAAACTCAGGTGTGATGAGCGTGAAAGTAACACTCATCAACTCCCCCAAGCTCTGTCTGATTGGTTGGGGCTTCTTCTTCTGCTTCTTCCTCCTCCTCTTCGCCTTCCTCTTCCTCCTCGTATTCCTCTTTGTTTTCCTCTTCATGCGTGCCCCACTTCCATACTTCTCCGGCGGGTGGTGTAGAAACTCTCTTGTGCAAGTCCTCCGGTTCACATACATCGTTTGGCTCAAATTTAAAGGTGCAAACGGTAGGAGTTCCAAGTAGTATAACATTGTGAAAAGTAACAAGTAGACACCCGTAATGGAGAAAAATCACCTTTGTAATTATGGTACCATTTCACTTGCATTGAAGCTCTTAACATGACGATGTCCATGGGATGCTCTGCATCATTGTTTATCCTGCTTTTTAGGGAAAGCATGCTATGCCAGTACATGGGTATAATAATCCATATTTTTTTGAGTGGATGGGCCTAATACATCTGTCATGGAGTCAGATACCAATAGAGCCTTCAACCGAGTGAAGCTAACCTGGATCCTCATAGGCCCAAATAAAAGTTCCAACCAAAAACAAACCCACAAAGAATCCCTCAAAAGAACACAAACATGATGATGGGTCCTTCTATTCAGCGCTAAACGCGTGGAGTAGACGAGAACACGTGAGCACGTAGTGATCACGTGGGGCTTCGTTTGCTGGCCAAGTTACCCATCGTTTTTGTTTGTTTCTCCATGCATAGACTTCATATTTTTTTTCCAAGAATCATTTGTGTACTAGAATTTGCAAATTAATAAAAACGGATGGACCAATTTTCCATCTTCGGGGTGAAGGGCTATCATCTCATACTAGATAAATCCCTAATTCACCTTTTACAGCTTCCGCTCTTACATAAAGCTCTTCCTTTGGCAATTGAAACTTGGGTGAAGGTTTTTAACCTTTAAATAAATGAATTTCTTGTAACAGCTTAACTTAAAAAAGTTACATACATGTTGTTATCAAATTCTTCTGAAAATATTCATGAATAAAAATATGTGCATGAATTTGAAAAATGTTCGCAAATTTTAAAAATATTCATGAATATAAAAACGTTCATAAATTGTAATAAGGTTTCAGAATTTTAATGTTCACTTTTTTTAAATGTTCTGGAATTTAATTTAATTTTTTATTTGAAAATTGTTCCAGAGTTTTATAAAAAGTTTACGGAAATCAAAAACTTGTTAAGAAATCCAAAAATGTTCATGAATATTACGAAATGTTTGTCTATTCAAAACATTTGATGAATTTGAAAAATGCTCATAAATTTTAGATGTTCATGAATTTTAAAAGTATTCAGGAACTTTAAGATGTTCAAACATTTAAAAATATTGGATAATTACAAAAATAAATGAAAATAATATATATGCATGATTTTTAAAATTGTTCAAGAATTTAAAAAATGCATGGGAATTAAAAAAATGATCACGAATATAAAAAATGTTCCAGAATTTAAATCAATGTTCGCCAAATAAAAAAATTCACAAATTTATTAGAAAAGTTCTGAAATTAAAAACCATTTTTGATTTTTAATTGTTTGGGCAATTACAAGTGACCATGCATTTTTTTAAATTATGAATTCAAAAATTTGAAGAATTTAAAGGTTATCCCGAATATCAAAAAATGTTCATGAACTAAAAATGATTAAATTAAAAATAAAAAAGGAGAAGGAAAAATCTGAAAAAAGTCAAAAACAAAGTGGTAAAAACTGTGGAGAAAAACACCGAAAATAGAAAAGAACCAGATGAAAGCTTTCAACATGTGTTTGCTGTTCAGATCTTGTGCAGATTATGTATCACAAACCCGACCGAGGGTCCTTCGAAACAATGTGATCGAATCCAAGGTAGGAAAGGGCATCATAGTGTAACAAGAGCTATGTGTGGGAACGTAACAAAACTGCTAATCAGCTACTCACCTACATGGCTACACGACGGTTTGCCGATCTGAACACATCAGGGACAGCACCAAGAGACGCACACCATGAATTTAAACAGATGAACTACGAGATGAGTAGGCATTGTCATCTGCAGCTCAGCTCGGCACCGGTGTCAGCCGGCAAAGGAGTATTCCGACGAATCTGAATCCTCCCTCTTTTCTTCCTGAACAGCATGTTGGTTACCTCCCCTCCACTGCACCATACACACACACATACACCATCAGTTCAGTTTGATTAAGTTGAGTTGCTATCAATCATGCATCTATATATGTATGTACGCAACAACTGTTCCATGGTGTGAAGTACCTGCAGATGCAAAGCTTACAACATACTGCTTGAGTGCATCGTCCACCGTCAGCGGCGCCATCTCGATCAAACACCCTGGTGTGCACAACCTGCAACCAGTTCGTGCCACCTATTCTCAGATACAAGAATGTACTCCCTTCATTCCTAAATGTAAGTCTTTGTAGAGATTCCACTGGGTGGACTACATACGGAGCAAAATGAATAAATCCACACTTAAAATGCATCTATATACATCCGTATGTAGTTCATAGTGGAATCTCTACAAAGACTTATATTTAGGAACGGAGGGAGTATATACTATGGCCCTGTTCGGAGTCACTCTGACTCCACAACTCCGCTCCGGAGCAGCCGGAGCTGTAGTTGAAAATCAGGGAGGAGCTGTTTCCTAGCTCCGCAGATCCTTGGATTTTCGGAAGTTGGTGGATTGCCGAACAGGGCACTATATATACCAACTCTCATCGCAATACTAGAATTCGAATCTTGGTAAAGATTTATGCAGAATCAATGCTGAATTCTTAACATGGCAAATGAAAGGTGTATAATTGTCAAGTTAAATAGGCCTGACAGTGTTCCATTTTCTACATACCTAGTAGCAACGGTTCAGTTAGTACCAAAGGTTCAGCAACAAGCTCATTACCTTGGTGAGGACGGTCTCCCTATATATCCTCCTCCACACCGGAGTCCGAGGGACCAGCAGCAACAGAGAAGACCGGAACATAATCCTGCCACTTATTCCTTGATGCCCTTCATGTGCGCATGTCGTCAGTCTCCTTCTCCTTGATCATCCTCTAAGAACTACCGGCTGACAGGGGTGCACCAGCCAGCCAGAGTTTATCCACGCACCATCTCTGCAGGCCAAGTGCAGTGAGCATGCCGCAACCTTGCTTCCACAAGACTGACAAAGATTACACATCACAAAGTATTAGAAGTTGGGATCTGCAAAGCAAAAGAGCAAAACATGAATTGGAAACTGGAAAGGAGAGATTGCAGACACAAGTGCCACTGTTCTCTTATAGTACTGAGTAGGATTGATTGATAGAACGCCTAGGCCATTAGCAGACAGGAATTTTAGCACTGACCAGCCCACAATTTCCAGAATTACAAATGAAGTACTCCCTCCATCTCAAAATATGTGTCTCAACTTTTGGGACGAAGGGAGTACTATACTCAACACCTAGACATGCATGAACATCATTACCATCCATACAAACTACCAGACCCAATCAACAATTTCCACAATGTTTCTAATACTTCCACCTTTTGGTTGGACTAGCTACCACTGCTATCAGCTTCTCACCATCATAGAGCATGTAACTACATACATCTCCTAGTTGCAGGTTCAAACAAGCGTGGTTGACACTTTCAGTTTATATCCTTCTTCTCTAATAGACCATCCCCTAAAAATATATTCAGATAGTAAGAATTTATAGAGTGGAAAACATGCTTACAGAAATATTATTTGTAGTGCAGATGGAGACGAGTTTAACAGAAAGATGGTTGCTCAAATTTGGTGGGTTGAAGACGATGAAGCAGCATCATTTGCCCGATTCTGGACTGTCTTCTTGTTAAGCCGAATATATGGAACATGACAAATGTTCACCCATTCTGATCCTCCAGGTTTGAAATTATTTTCTGTCTCAACTGTAACCTCTTGCATGACTAATTCTTGGAGATTATGAGGCACAACTCCTTCCAGTGATAATGGGTTTGTCCATTTGACGTGAAGTACTTTTAAGGAGGTAAGTCTGGCTAGTGTAGAAGGGAGACGTTGAAGAAAATTACAGAAACCAAACTCGATTTTTTCGAGGGAGATTAGTTGTTCAAACCATTCCTCCTGCTCTGGGGTAAAATAATGCTCATCTATAAAAGCAACAAGCAAATCTTGCACCGAGGGCAGAAAACCATTTCTATTTAGCAGGCTCTGATCGGTAATCATATTGGTGAGCCGAGGTACAGCTTGCACATCTTGTCTAGTTGATTGGTCTGAGAATTCAGTAAGAATGTCTGGACAACCATAAACATTGACTTGCCTGAGGCTGGGAAAGCAATGTAACCCATCAAGCAAACGTAGCCCTCCACATTTTCTAAGATATAGATACTCAAGTGACTTCAACTGATGCCCAGAGAATAGCACTGGGTGATCGCAGTAAGACATACTTAATTTTTTGAGACATGCCAAGAGTTGTACATACTGTGGCAGTGCCTTGACAAAGTCCCCACAAGCTGAAATGTCAAGTTCTGACAGTGAAGATATGAAAGATAGATACGGCACTTCTTTCAGTGAAGGGCAATTGTGAAGTCGAAACCTTGTGACGTGTTGAAGGAGAGGGCCATGATCTTCTTCGGCATGTAACCATTTTGTCCATGATGTCATCGAAGAAATAGTCAAGTCCTCCAAACTTGGGAGACAGCCAAAAAATGTTCCATCAACATGCCTTACTGACGGCAAGTTATCTAGGGTGAGATGCTTGAGTGAAGGGAATTTTCCAAATGGTGGAAGTACAACCAGAAGTCGACAGTTTCCAACATGAAGGGACTGAAGTTTTGTAAAGATGTGACCTTGCAACATCCAGCTTGGTAAAGTAGTGGCCCCGTAGCCTTCAATCATGAGCTCTTGCAGATTTGAGTGTGGCTGCAATCCTTCAAGTACATCTTTGGATACATTTCTACCCTTCAATTCCAAGGCCTGAAGGTGCTTCTTCTCAGACATATTGGCATCCATTGCCTCATGCTTGCTCCTAATGATGTGGATGTTGCTGATGCAAAGTTTCCCAGATAACTCTTGCATGTTCTTCAACTCACTTACCATGAACCCATTTCTCTTTCCAGCACTGAAGTTCTTCAATTCTTGAAGTTGACTTAGTTGCCCAATACCAGGAATCAGAGAGAGAGCTGTAGCACCAACATAAAGGTGTCGTATGTTGGCAAGCCTATTTATGCTTTGAGGAATACTATTCCGGGCATATCCATGGAGGTATAGAACTTGAAGGTTGGAAGGTAAGTTGCGCAAATTGCTGATTCTTGTGAAAGAAAGATCAAGGAACCTCAATTTTCTCAAGGATGCAATGTTTGACGGCATATTCGTCAGGACCTCCAAATGAGACAAGTCTAACACTCGAATACTTCTTGAGTTGGCCAACATTGTGTCGATAACATCACAAATTGCATCACTGTCACAATGACCAAACAATAAGATTGTCCGCAGATTTGTGTACTTGTTGAGTTCATGAATGTGCAGTTGATTACTGACTTGCAGAGCCAAGTGGCGAACATTTGCTGATGCGCCGCGTGAGGTCTCTTTGTGAAGGAAGCATTCATATGAAGAAACACCAATTGCCAGAGCCCGGACTAGATCATGCATAGTGTACCACTTTTTGTCAAATGTAGCCTGGAAAAATGATCTTTCCACAAGTTCATCAAACAATTTGCTTCCAATATCCTCTAATCTAGTGTCATCAGATTCGCTTTGTTCAATCAAGTCATGAGAAATCCACATATTGACCAATCTATCTTTGTCAAACAAGTAATTTTCTGGATAAATCGAACAGAAAGCAAAGCTCTGCCTTTGTTTAGGTTGAAGATCTTGATAGCTAATTCCCATGTATGGAAGGATTTCACGAATAACTTCCCTCATGTCCCACCAATCACTCTCTAGGATCCTTTTCCACTGATCTGCAGTTATTCTGGATCTCAACAGATTTCCCATTACTTTTGCTGCTAATGGCAGACCACCTAGTTTTTTTGCTATTTGTTCACCAATTAACAGAAGAGTCTGGTTGTTCTCAACCGCAACATTGGTTGTGCCAAATGCATAATACTGGAAAACTGGCCAAAAACTCTCCCATGGCAAAGGTTCTAGTGGAACTTGACACACTGTTGCCACTGTTTTTGCAACCCTTTTGCTTTGTGTTGTGACAAGAACTACACTTCCCGGCAGTTCACAAGCTATGGCAATAAGCAAACTACTCCACTGGTCACACATCTCATCCCAAACACTGTCTAGCACAAGAAGGAATCTTCCTTCCTGCTGGATGACATTTTGAATGTTGTTGACAATTGTTTCCAGACTATCAGCATAGTCAAAAGATGAATCATTTCCTTTCAAAGAGCGCAACATCTCTTGCAATGTTCTCTTGACACCAAAGTGTTTTGAAACATACACCCATGCTCTCTGAGTAAAGTGGTCCTTCACCTTTCCATGATTGTAAATGACTTGAGCAAGGGTTGTCTTCCCAACCCCGCTCATACCAACAATTGGGATAACATCAACACCACTAATGCGGTACCTTTCCCCAAGTTTTGCTCTTATTCCGCTGGATTCTGGTTCAGAGCTAGATAAACCCAAAATAATTTTCATTATCAACTCTAAAACTTCATCGCGCCCAAATACCTTGACATCAACTGGAACACGAGAAGTAGTCTCTCCCCCAACTCCCTCCTCCTTGATGGATGTTGACCTACTCTGCTTTATGAGCTCCAAAAATGTGATGGATGTGTTACAAAGGTGATCTAGCTTTTGCACAACAGATTCGAGCAGTGTCATGCTCTCATCAGGCACAATCAAACCTTTCAGGGCCCTAACCGATGACGATATGAGTTCGCTCACCTTGCGCTTTCCCGTGACTATCTCATGGCAATCAAATCTGTCCAGCACATCCTCCGCTTCATAGGCAGCATTATGAAGGTTCCTCAACCACTCAGTAAGACTAGTGTTGATGATAATCTGATTGTCAGCCACCTCAGTTATGGCCTTCACCATGATGAGGCTTGTGCGGAGTTTGGCCAGAAGCTCTTCAGTAGCATGGCTCAAATTATAGTTGCCCCCAAGGAAGTCCATCGTCTTGTCCACAACACGTTGGATAACTGCTGATGAGAAACCACCAGCGACCTGCTGGACAGCTGCAGACATCATTGTTTGGACCCTGCAATGATGATAGAATTTGTCAGTACATGTCTGCAAGCAGTCGTGCAAAGTTGTCGCACGTTAAGGAAAAGATGAGCAGATCAACTGATGAGCTTGAACTCGGCAAGGAGTTCTCTTCTGCAACACACGATACGTCGATACCCACAAGTATACCAGGAAGATAGTTTTCTATATACGCATCAGAAATTATCTCTTGAGTTGCCCTCTGCTCGAATCTTGCGAAAACAGACTTTAGTCCCCGAGGGCTTGTAAGAAATTGTGCAAAATGGCTTCTCTAGCCTATAGGTAGTGTAGTTAATGCTCTAATCCTGCATATCTGTGCTGCTGGGGTATACATCCCTCTTTTTGCCAAGAAGTGAAAAAGGGCATGCTAAATACCAACATAATAACATCTACCTATATGGCTACAAGTACGCATTACATTGGGTTTTTTTTTTTGAGCAAAAGAGAGGCCACCCTCTCAGATTTCAATTACTGAAACCATCAGGTCTTAACAGAAGTACAAAACACACACCCACTCACATGTATTACGTTGATGAATGCAGATTTGCAATGAAATGCAGTAGAACTAAGAAACTAGAACAAGCAGGTATAGAAGGAACATTAGGAATTCGGCTCAAGTAACTTGAAGAGATTTGCATATCTTTTAGATGCAACCCTTACTAGAAGTGCATAATTTAACATGAAAGCTTCAAGCATCAAGCATCCAGTCCCCTCAAAAAAAAAAAAACTTCAAGCATCCCATCAATACATTTGAAACAAAATCAGTAAACAAAATAATAAGAAATTAATTTTTGCTCTGAACTTCAAATGGAGGGCTTGACAGAAGGTGCTCACCAGTCCGAGCCGCTGCAGAAGAGCCTCACCGAGAACTCCTCCAGCAATCCCTGCCCTGCCCCGACCAGACTTCTTGTTCTTTTAACACGCCGCCCGAACGCGAGTCCTCCTCGCCGCCGACACTACAGACGAGAAGCGAGGGGGGTTGGCGCCTGCGAGAACGAGCGAGGTCGGGCGACAAGGAAGCGGCTTATAGCTGAGCCGGCGGGGGAGGGGCGATGGGGATCGGGCCGCGGCGATTGCTCCGGCGGTGATGATTAGTTTCGTTTCAGGCTTACGCAAGAATTATCTTTCTTTTGACATCGACGCGTCCTAGTTTTTTTTTCATCTAGACTAGATCTAAGGCTGGTTGTAATGGAAGTATCATAGCTAGTATCATGCATGCCAACTAGGCAACTTTAATGAGGTGGCATAGAATTAAATGAAGTAAGAGAGGGTTGAGTATCATATCATGATACCGTATCATAATAAATGCTACACTAGTATGTGTCATGCATGGCAATAAATAAAGTCATCTATAATACTACCATATGATACTATGCATTAGGAAGGTAGTATCATACACTAGTATCATATGCATGATACTAACTTATGATATTACCCATTACAACCAGCCTAAGTGTAGTATTTTATTCCGGGCCCTGTAGTCCGCGACGGTCGATTCTGCGGAGGCTTTTTTTTTCTTTACGCATGTCATTTTCTTTCCTGGATGATAAGTGCCACGTCTCAAGTGCGTGTACCCTGGTTCTGACGTTTTTTCATGACAAATTTCAGTGACACAAGTTTTAATAGAAATAGAAAATAAACTGAAGCATGAAAGTTGTCATTCTTGGCAACTAAAGTTACTCTACTCACGTCACTAAACTTGTAATAAAAAAGTACGGAGTTGCCATGTGCTAGTGCCACGTGTCAGGTACTTATCAGGGTCTTTTTCTTCTTTGATGATGATCATGAGGTTATAAGTCGATCCGAGGAAGTATGTTTCTTTTTCTTTTTGCCAATAAGTCGATCCGGGGAGGTAGTTTTCCTTATTTTACAAATAAGTTGATTTGTGGAGGTAGTTCACCGGAATGCAGAATGCTCAGGAATTATAGAACGCACTTCAATTTATTTATTTTGAGAAACTCAGCTCTATTAAAGATGATAAGAGAGACAAAGGACCCAACCTCTAAAGGCCAACGCTAGGAGCCGGCCGGCCGGCCCAAATTTTGGCGGGTCGCACGCTAGCCGTCGGATTTGGGACCCTCCCAGCTGTTAGATTCTTATCCCCAAGTCGCCGTCTTCTTCCCATGATTCGCTCCTTTCTCTAATCCTCCCCGCACAGGTCGCCACCCCGATCATGCGTGCTCCCGTGTCTTGCCATTTGAAGCTTATGGTCGCAACTGTCGTGGTTTGAAGCTTGTCGGCTGTCACATCTCACACATCATCTCACTGATGTAGCTCCTGGCCGCCCGCCGTTGTAGCAATTGCGTGCGCTGCTCCATCCCCCCACCGTGGGAAGCACCCCCGCCCATAGAAGGTTGTAGCATCGACGCCATTGGGTGTCGCGTCTCGCATCCTCGTCGGGCGTCGTGGGTTGAAGTTCGCCATGTGTGCCAACCCCAGCATCCCATCACCCCCATTTGCTAGTTCCAGCAAAAATTGTCACCAGACGCAGCAAAAACCAGTGTCGATCCCAACAAAAACTATCACTCCAGTCATCCCATCACCCCCATTTGCTGGTTCCAGCAAAATAAATCATCGATTCCAGCAAAACTATACATCTGTTCCAGCAAAATCATAGCTAGGCGCAATAAAAAACGATCACTGGTTCCAGCAAAAAATTACTGCCCTTGTAGAAAAAAAACATCACTAGTTCCAGCATCCCACTGCCACAGTTCCAGCACCGCCGCGTCCCCGTCGATTGACGTTGTCGCAACTTTTTAGATGGTCGGTTGCAGCCTTTTCAACACCTGGTTGAACCACACAAAAAATTGACGGCCGCCATTACAACACGCATGGCTGGTTTGTGTGCACCACTGGTGCTGCAACAGATGGCAGGCTCTGGTGTTGCAACCCACGAAAGGCTCTGGTTCTGCAATCCTAAGCCACCATCATCGTGTGCGTCATCGTCACCATCGCCGACGGCGGCTGGTTGCAGCTTTTTGCCTTCCAGCAAAAAAATTAACCGATTGTAGCACCAGGGTGCGTCATCTCCATCGCTGAGCAGCTTCTGCTCGCCGCACCGCCCTTCGCAAAACCGCCCATGGCCTCTGCCGCCCCAATTGCAGCACTGCCCGGCCGAAATCGTGGGAGAGGGAGGAGCCACGCGAGCGCCGCACCCGTGGGCAGGAAGGAGCCATGGCTATAAAACATTAGCCTCACATCCAATGGCTATAAAAGATGAATGAGACCAAATTGTATCTCATCTAGATGAGTTCTAGCAAAACTAATGTTTTTAATTGACCGACCAGCCTCATCCTCGTACCGGTCACATGCGAGTCGTCGAGTTGTAACTAGATCATTTAACACCACATGTCCCATGCGCCGCTCTTCTCCTAGCCTCATTATATTTTTTTTTCTTCGCCCTTATCCTATCACGAAGCTTCTTACTTGCTCATCTTCTCCCCATGTCTCCTCTCTCCAATCGCACGCCCCCTCCCTTGAGCCAACATGGATGCACGCCCCCTCCTTTCCTCTTCCATCCCCACCTGGACAACTGCCGCTAAGCTCTTCCGCCCACTACTATGACTAATCCGCTCCAAAGCTGCAAGGAGCCCATCGTTGCAAACTTTTGAGGTGTTGCGATGGCTGATGCTATGCCACCACGTTTCTGCGACAAGGTGGATATGCTACCGGCCAGAGGTGACTGTTGTGTCCAACATATTGTGAGATACAATCTGCGTGGGGTGGTCCTAGAACCAATGACTACGACCCATTCTAGGACTGCTCCCCAAGGATGCTGTATTGACCAACAGATGGGATGTTGGGCCCACATATGGAAATGATGGGACCGCGACGGTGATTGTTGCGTCTGATAGTTGACGGGGGAAGCAACCGGCAGACGAGATGTTGGGACTAGCAGATGGGGATGATGGGCCATGCCCCGGCGATGCTGCATCCAGCAATCCGAATGTATGTACTTTTTAGAGTGAATTCCATTTTTTACCTTGTAGTTGTACATTTGTGACACATATTACCCTATTTAGCGAAACTTTTATCGAAATGTCAGATTTTGGAGACTTTTAACACGGTTTTACCCCAGTTTTACATTTTGTTTGTTTATGGTCGATAGCATCGGCATGTTGCGTCATTGATTTGTAAAAAAAATGTAAGGATCGGAGGGCATCATTGGCGATCTTGTCCAAGCTTCTCTTGTCTATCTGTTCCACTCCTTGTGGCCGTCCACATGTTTTTGGATACAGAGCGTCACCTCACACCTTACCTGATGGACACGCAAAAACAAGGGTCCAAAGATTTCAAAAGGGGTATTCTAGACGAATTTTCACTCGAAGGGGTAATTAGTGTCACAAATGTATAAATATGGGGTAAAAAGTGGAATTCACTCTACTTTTTATATGTATGGAAAAGAGGAAGAAGGAAGAAAAAGAAAGAGGGGAAAAAGGAAAATAAGAAGAGGAAGAAGGAGAAGAAGAAGAGAAGAAGAAGAAGAGAGGAAGAAGAGGAGAGAAAAAATAAGAAGAGGAAGAAGAAGGAAAAAATGAGGAGAAGAAGAAAAATAGAAATTTCTATTTTTCTTCTTCTCCTCTATTCCTTCTTATTCTCCCCTTTTTTCTTCTTTTTTTCCTTCTATTTTTTCTTCTTCTTATCCTCTATTTCTTCTTCTTCTTCTTCTTCTTCTTCTTCTTCTTCTTCTTCTTCTTATCGGGAACGAGGGTGTTGAGGATCACTGAGGGGTCAAGGGTCGGAAACTAGGCTAGAGGGTCGCGAGGGTCACAGAGGGGTCGAGGGTCATCGAGGCCGGTCGAGGGTCAAGGGTTTGAGGGTTGAGGGTTCAAGGGTTCTAGGGTTAGAGGGGTCAAGGGGTCGCCGAGGG